CGAATCATATGTTTTTTTATGTTCTAACAAAAAGTAAAAAATAGTTTCTCAATGTCTACATTTAGGTTTTACAAATTAAACGGTATTCCTAACTGCAACCATTTTGTTTGGGGTGCAAAAGGAATTTCCTAATGAACAAGGAAATAGATACAATGATAATAACAACAATCACTCATTTACAAAATGGTGTATAAGACACCCCCTATCTTCTTCAGCCAAACACAGCTGAACCACAAAAACAGGTAGTCCATGTCAACATTATGCCATTTCTTGTCTGCGGATTCATCTGCCTCTACCAAAATGTATAACTTTTACTTGTCCTGGGTTCTAAAAATGGTTCTCGCAAATCATAATCTTTTCTATTTCATGTACTCTTTAACACACTTTGGGTGATATCTTCAAGGAAGGATACAAAACCCATGACACTGGTTAGACCACTTCCATCAACATCCTGCTCCTCGATAAGATAGTTCTCAAACGCTGTGGCATCGTCCTGCCCCTCCCGGATAAACACAAGTTTGGGGGTAATACACCGGTCTTGCTTCAACTCGTTAATTGTAGACCGCAACAAACCTGATAAGAATGAATTGCCTCAGAAGACATCACAGCTAAAACACTTCCATTTCAACTCTTATGAAACAACATCCATGTGGGAAAGCACTGACAAGTGATTAAGAACTTACAGTTCTAGGGTGGAGGAAACGGAAGGCTAGGGTCTGCTGTAGATGAGTAAAAGACAATTAGAGTTGTAAATGCATCGAGGAAAAATATCGGACTACTGCTGGTGATCAGAGCAGCACGACTCAACAAGTGCCGTGGATAGGATTGTTTATCTGGTGTCGAATACAATGTTAGCACTGGATAGATGGCACGCTGAAGAGAACTTGGTTCCAGTGCGCCTCATACGTATGGGAAAAACATTTCAGAGTTATAATTACCGGGGGGAAAAAGCTATAAGAGTCTTGAAAGATAATCAAATTTCCATGAAAGAGGGCAGAAAATAAAATTAAAACATGTGGTCAGCTGAACTTCCAAAATAATCTGTGCTAGGATAAGTTTACATTATGGTAATGATATTAAGGATAACTTCAAGACCAAGTCCTATATTAATTAAGTGAATTTACAAGGCTCAAAAGCATGCATCTCAAAAAAATAATGCAACAGCACAATTAAAGGTGCATGCAAAGAATATGCCAAATGGAACAAATATTTATTATGCCATGTGTGTGTGTGTCCATGGTTCACATTGAATCTGTTGATTATTTAAGAAATTGTGGCATGAGAATAACCCATATCTAAAAAAGTGAGCACCATATACCTGAAAAGACATTGAACATAAATCCGGTAGTCAGGGTGAACACCTTCCTCATGGAAGCGCGAAAGGAGATTTCGAAGCAAAGCAAAAACCAAGCGAGGCAAAGGTTGCAGTTGTGGGCATTGTGAGAATGCAACATCAATCTGAGCAGTGATTGAACTGCTTGCATTTTTGTATTGAATAAGTTTAAAGCTTCATTTTATTGAGCTGTGAGGATGACTAGCCAATCATGAAGCAACATCCTGCCCTCTCTAACTCTTTGCTCCAAAGAGGCTAATATAACCTGTAGAATCAATAATATGTATATAAACTATTAGAGATGATCCCCAGAAATAAAATGCACAAGCACACGCACACATGTGTAGAAGACATGGAAAGAGAGACAGAGAGGGAAGGCAGACCTTGTGAACAAGTAAAGATAGAACCGCTTCAGGATCAACACCATCATAAAGTTCATTAAGATTTTGAGCAGTTCCATACTGCAGAGTTCGTATTCTAAGTCGTCGTTTAAGAGAATGCTTGCCTCTGCATAAAAATATATCATCTTAAGCCAAGCCCAAAAGTAGCTCAGAAAGCAAATTTTCAATTCAATATGCTTAATAATTTGGACTTCCAGAAGATCTTGGTATGAATGATGATAAGCCAGAATCTAAATTCCTGACCGTGCAGATGAGGCTATAGTTATTCATGTCCTCAAGAATGAAAAAATTCATAATTTGATTGTTAATCTCAATTTGATTCGTAGGTGAGAAATTTTTAAAAATTTTATAAACATATTAAAAAATTTATATAAAAATTTTTTATATCAAGATTTTAAATCTCATTTGATTTTCATATTCAATTTAATTATCAATTTTTTTTTAAATTAAATGAATCCGACAATGAAATTTTTTAAAACGTGACAATTTTCTTGAATACTCTTAAAGTAAAAAAATATTATTGAATTATTATCAACATATTAAAATATTTAAAGATAATTTTTGATATTAAATTACTTAGTAAGTGTTTTTATGCTTTTGAATAACACAAAATTAAATTGATACAATCTTTTGAGTAAACGAAAAGATACTATAACCTTCTCTATATAACCGTACTTTTAAATTTAGTTTTAATTTCGTAAAAATAAATTTACTTTTTAAAAACACTTAAGTCAAATTTAAAATTTTTCTTTAAAATGAGACAAATTTAATTAGAAGATCAATCGCACCTAGACAAAAAAAAAATTAACGACAACTCTTAACTTAAGTTTAATTATAAATTTACAGATTTATATGTTATAACAATAAAAAATTACTTTTTAAGATTTCATTTACACGAAAAATAAATTTAGTTTTGAAAAGATTAAAAATAATAATAATAATTATTATTATTATTATTATAATAAATAAAAAATTATAATTACGATTGAAAAAAAGTTAATAAAAAATTTATATTGAATGGATTGATTCAACAGTATAATAAATTCAATCGCACAAATTAAAAACTACAATGAAATTCAAACGTAGGCTAAATCTATATTAGATTTGTGGACTAGCTAGTGGCATCAGATTCTAATAAATGAATAATGGAATTTTGGATTCACAATTAATTAGTCATTAAGATCATTGAAAATTGGAGGATCATTTCTCATTTGAGACCCAGATTATTTAGGTGAGTTTGGACTCGTCCAGAGGTTTCCTGCACCAGCAAAGTTGGATTGATAATACCCATGTGGTATACTTGCTTGGGTTTTGACACCGAATTAAGTTGTGGCCATGTGCAAATATTGGTGGTGGATGAATTTTTTTTAAGCACCGAATCCATTTTGATAATTGCATGCTTGAATATTTATACCCTGCAGATCTTATTATGACATAAGTGAACCTTCTGGATAATCCACATTTTAGATAACAGTGTAAGAAAGTTTTAAACACAAACGAGGAAAGCACTTATAGAATGGCCAGGCTTGAATTCAGAAGAAATCCTCAATCTTAGTACACAATTAAAAGCATATGGTCGACTTAGCATTCGATACCCGCAAAATAAAAAAACTGAAATGGAGTATACATGTCATTAACTCAAGTAGATATGAAGTGTTCAAATAAAAATAAGCACTAAATGTCATCTTTAAAAAAAGAATAAACTAAAAGTGTATTTAGCCTGAAAGAAACTACAAGAAATAATAATTATAATATACTTTTGTTATGCCATTAACCAATACAGCGTCATTTTAGTCCATTAAAACCCTATGTAAGAATTAGAGGAGCTTATAGTACTTACATGTCCTGAGGAAGTGTTGAATCATCTGTACTTGAATATAGGAACAGAAAGCCACCACCTTCTAAGCTAAGAAATTTAGTGAAGCCAAATCTATATACTCATTTGTAACAACAAAAATGTCCACGCATACACCTGCTTGAACAGCCACAGCAGCCTATAAAATATGTCAATGCTAAATTTCTAATCCACACAACTAAGATTAGATAAAACAAAAGTCAATTGAAATCTACCAGATCTTTGTAGAATGGTGTCTGCCCAGGAAGTAAAGCACGGTCTGCATCCTCTCCTTTACTAGCATATTGCTCACCATACCTTCTTGTATCTAGTTGCCCAGGTCCTTAATCGGGAGGACCAGAGAGAGAGGAAAAGACTCTAGCTGCAGTAATGTTCAGAGAAGACAACACCATGTAGCACATTATTTAGAAATATATGATGACAAAAATAAACGAGGGAAAGACATTTGCAAAATCAGAAGAACCTATATGGCTTCTCACAAACCTAATGCAAATGTATTTCCATATTGTGACCCAAGGTAATTGCAAAGACCTTCCATTGCCACACCAAAACCTCGACCACCCATCAACACACCATCTAACCCTTCACCTGCACTTGCAGTTCTCTCCCATGAAGTAGTTGGTCTGAGTGTTTCAAGTGCAGTTGCGATATGATCCTTACAAGTTTCAACCTGTATAGGTCATTGATTTTTAGAAGATCAGTACACAACCAATACAAAATTACGTACTTGATTTGATTGATATAAACGAGGAGACACTACAATACCATAAATGAAAGACTCAATCAACAAGGGTTATTCCAGATACAAAAAGATATACCTATTCACGCCCCTCCTATACTATTCTTATAAAATAATTATTCCATTCCATAAATCAAAACGTGCTGTATGCTGTATGGAAGGCAACGGCTGAGGATAAAAATGAAGGAAACAAGAAATTAAGAATACATACTGGAGCCAAGAATTGTAACAAAGGCATGGCATCTTCAAGCTCAATTGGTAAGGTTCCCTCTGTATCTTGAGGGATAAAAACATTCTTTAGAACAGGTATAGGCCCTTGAACATCATATAATCCGAATTTGTGGCTGAAAGTGGCAAGGCCAAAAAGTGACCCAGGTGCAAGAGCCGCAATGGAAATGAAAATGAACCAAAAGAATCAACTTTCCAAGGAAAAAAATTAAAGAAGAAACAGAATCAATGAATTATTTTATCCAGCAATAAGGAACCTTCCAATGCTGCCTGCAATGTATTTTTAGTAAGCTCCAAAAATTCTTATGAAGCTGCAAATAGAAAAGAAACAGTATATAAGCCCATGTAGGTTAAAGTATAGAAACAAGAACATAAAGAGATAACAATCATGCATTGTATCTGCTAAAACATTATGAGAAGAACTGAGTCAAAGACCAACTACGTTATTAACTCGGTACTTTTTTTTTTTTTTCAGAACATCTTACTATGAGCAACATAAACACATATTTTTCTCCCACATCAAACGTAAAATAAAACTGATTAGCAAAATGCAATCTTCAACAAAATTAACTGCCAACAACTACTCGGCATCCCCATATGGCCATATTCATATTTACTATCATACATGCATGAACTCCACATGTGAAGTATGAGGGTCAAGAGCTAGAATAAGAAAAAAAAAAAAGGGCATGATACACAGAAACATGAGTATATCCAAGAGTCTAAAGGTGCCTCAACACTTTGTCCCTATAACCCATTACATTCAATGTACTTTGCCAGTATCTAATAAAATCTAGTACTTTTCCCCTCCTAAATTGGTCTTAACTGTATAATAGTGTACATCCAATACTTAAAATTCTGTAAGTATTTTAATCATTGAAGATTATCCAACTCAAGGAAATTAATAACAACAAAATAAAAATCTAAGTAAACGAGGATCTAACATGACAAATCAATAGCCGCAACATACACCGAACGAGCATGCAACGTTTCCTCCTCCGATCCTTCCACTACATAGAAATAAGAAAAACAAAATGATTTGGTATATAAAAAGGAAAATTTTCATTATCCCTCACTCTCCTCCTCATTTTTCTCACCAACCAAATTACAGTTGCAAGGCAACTCGAGATCGATAAACAACGACATCATTTCGGCACATTACTGAGGATAAGAGTATCTGGCGATGGATTAAGAAGAGAGGCCGTTGAGTGTGCCGCAAAGAGAGCAATTCCAGGCCCATTGGTCGAGGTCGCAATAGGTGTTGAAGTAAGCGTAGCAATTCTCGCATCGAGGTAAAAGATGCCCGTCCGATCCATAGACCGGCGCTTGACCGTTCTCATCTTTGGCCGCGAATGGCGTTACGGTTAATCCCCATGGAACGCCGGAATCTTCTTGGGCGTCGGAGTTAATCGGGAATCGTGACACCGTCGCACGAACCGCCACGCCTTTTTTTTTCCTTTTTTTTTTATAATTTTTATCGGAAAATGATGTGATCGTTTAGCTGATGTAGGCTGGCTAGTAGATAGTGAGAGAGGAGGGGGGAATGAGTGCTGTGGCGTATGTTAGCAAAACTGATACTCGTGGGGATAGCCAATAAGAAACTTAGAATATACCACGTCGGGTTTGGTTGATGGCGTTAATAAGCCGTAAAACCATTTCCAAATCGAGCTGCTGCTACGAGCATGAAATTGACCACGAATTTCATCATCCTCACGAAAAGATTGCTTCACCAAAAAATGCAATGCAAGATTTTATTTTTTTTTTCTTCTACAAAACTTTTTTCCTTTTGCACCAGTTATTTGGTGAGCCTCTCTGGTTTTAGATTCCATAATTTAAAGTACTTCATCTATCTATAGAATAAAAACTCAAATAATCAGACTTCAAGAAAGTAAATACTAGGGTGCCGGAGGTACTAAGCAGTCCTTTTCTATTTTGATCCAACTGGATCCAGGTACTTTCTTTACATCCCTAGTCTCCATTAGTTCTCTCAACTTTCCCACATCATCCCAGTTGTTGAATCCAGCAAACATGTTTGATAACAACACATAACTTGAAGGATCTTTCCTGTCTAGATTTATTGCATGCTCTGCTGCCCGCTTCCCAGTTTCAATATCCCCTTGAATTTGACAAGCACTAAGCAAAGTTTGCCAAACTGGTGCACCTGGCTGAAACGGCATTGACAAGATTAATTCTTCAGCTTCTTTAATATGTCCAGCACGGCCAAGTATATGTACCATATATACATAATGATCTTCACCAGGGGAGATTCCATGGTCAACGGTCATGGATGAGAAATATTTCCACGCTTCATCGGTAAACATTCCTTGGCTACATGCATAAAGCACACAAACAAAGGTAATATAATTCGGTTTTATACCCTTAACAATCATCTCATCAAAAATCTTAAGAGCTTCTCTAGCTTGACCATTTTGGGCACACCCCATTATCATTGTCGTCCATGAAACAATAGAACGATCATCCATTGCCTTAAAAACGCCCCATGCACCATCCATGGAACCGCATTTTGCATACATATCAATCAATGCATTATCCACACAAACATCAATCTCAACTCCAAGTTTGATTCTTAACCCATGAGCTTTCTTCCCTTCTTCCAGCAGAGCCAAATTAGCACAAGCATTGAAAAAAGTGGCAAGAGTAAACTTATTGGGTTTTACGCTCATCATCCTCATTTCTCCAATAACTTCCAATGCCTTTGCAGGCTCCCCATACTCTAACCATCCAGCCGCCATTTGTGTCCAAGAACAGACATCTTTTTCACCCATTTCATTGAAAGCTTTCAAACCATCAAAAAGCCTTTGATTCTTTAAATACATATCAACCAAAGAGTTCCCAACACATATTTCACTACCATGACCAGACTTAACAAGTTGGCCATGCACTTGTAAACCCATGTTTAAATCACCAAAAGAAGCCAACCCAGTTAAAACACTTGCAAAACTAAAGCAATCAGGTTTCACTCCATTATTCATTTGAACCCAAAACTTAGGCAAACCCAAACAAGAACTTTCCAAGTAACCATTTAACATAACATTCCAAGTCACAATATCTTTATTTAAACACTTCTCAAAAACCTCCAAAGCTTCCTCTCTTTTCCCATGTCTCATCAAAGCTGTCAAAAAAGCATTGACTAAAAACACGTTTGACCCAAACCCCAAACGTAGAACGACAGCGTAAACTTGGTAAGCTAAAGCTAAATTTTCGTGCAAAGAACAAGCTTGAAGAACACCAACAAATGTGAACTCATTAGGCTTTGAAGTTCCATCCTTTAGCATGTAAACAAACAAAGAGAGAGCTTGATTGAAAAACCCATGTTGGGTAAAGCCAGAAACCATGGCTGACCATGAAACGACATTGCGTTGAGGCATTTCATCGAACAGCTTGTGGCCGTTGAAGAGGTCTCCGCATTTCATGTACATGTTGAGGATATGGTTTTGGAGATAAAGGGAATGTGGGATTGAGCCTTTGATGAATTTTGCATGGATTGCTTTTCCATCAAGTAAGTTTGAGGTTTGGGCGCATGAAGTTAAGAATTTGGAGCAAAGGTTTTCTTCTAAGGTTGAGAAATGGGTATGGAAAGTTGCAATGGTGGAAAAATAACATAGAGGCTTGGTATTGGAGCTGCGTTGGACAAGGCGAAACATTTACTATTTGCTAACATTAATTTTGAGTTCAATTATGAACTTGGTAGTAAGATTGGTTTGGTCCAAAAACTTCTTTAAAACGTCAAATAGTTTTTTTTGTTTTTGGTCAAATGAAAAATGGAACGGCAAAATATCTATAGAATTCAAAAAGAAAATTCATATTGAATTTTTAAGAGTCTTGAATTTTGTTCCATACATTTCCTTTTTAAACCAATTTAAATAAATTTATTTAAATTAAATTTAGTACATTTATAAAAAATTACTTCTCATAATTTTTTAATAAATTTGAATCTAAGTAACAAAAAAATATAATGTTCTCTTTGTCACTTAAACCAAACATGACTAAAATATTAAAAATATCCTTAAATTATTTTTCTTTTTTTAAATATATTTTTATATTTTTATTATATTTAAATAACATCTGCATCTTTTGATTTGTATCCAAATAAATTTTTATTTTAAATGAAAAAATTATTTATATTAAAAATTTATTTAGATATAAATTAAAAGCTTATTTAAATATAAATTAAAAATTAAAAATTTATTTGGATGTAAATAAAAGATTAGAAGTTTATTTGAATGTAATAAAAATATAAAAATTTATCTAAATAAAATTGTAAAATTAAAAGGCTCTTTTATTATTTTAACCAACAAACATCCATGGGTAATATACGTGGTTTTTGTAAATTAGAAGTATTTCACGAAGGAATGAATGAATAGAAGAACAAATGCAAGTTGGGGAATTCAACTTGTAAATAATTATTAAAAAAAAAAACGTAGCACATCCCTCACAAATCCAATTTCATAAACTGGCATCCAATGCTGTGGGGATGAATACGACCACCAGATTAAGCATAAACAAACACGTATTCAACAGAAGATGTGAAAGGACAAAAATGAGGTAACAGCAGCCTCTACTGCAAACCATACTTCCCATGTCAATTTCAAAATGTTAGTCTGAGTTTACTTCCTGAACTTTTGATTGTGTTTGCTTCCCAGAAAGAAGAGAAAAAGGGTCTCTTAAGCCTGATTTAGGGGAACCAAACTCAAGGAATAAGGAAGCACCGTGCCAAAGATGGAGCTGGTCCCCAACTTGGAAACAAAGCAAACTATCTGCATCTTGTTTGTCTCAATATTATACAGCATGATCTTTCGAGAAACCCTCATCAATAAATACCCATCTTTGAAGGCCAAGGGATCAACCCATGGTTCCATGTTAACTTCTAACCTTTGTGTTACTCTCTCACGCAGATTGTAAAGGAACTGTGAATGTTGCTCTTCCATTTCCTCCAGAGTTTTAGAGAGCTTCAGCGACCACCTGGATTCAAAGTAATCCTCAAGAAACCACACTTGAAATCCATATTGAGAAACCAAAATGTAATGCAGCCTGCCATCAGAATCACCAATACATGCTTCAGGAATGCTCCTGAACTCATTGGATGGAAGTGGAACAGATACCAACCATGATAGTTCATTCTCCACATGAAAGGTCAGCACTTCATCGCCATCAGTTAACCAGTGCAAAACCCCTCCCGCAAAGATGCCTTTGTTCTTGTGCAGATTGTTATTGCACTTGCAGGTTTCCTCTGATTTCTTCCAGGCCCCTGAATCCGAAGAGTATACTTCGAATGAGAAGCACAAGGCGTTTATGTCAGTTTCAAATTGCTTCACTCTTATCAATTTGAACATGGTTGATGTGCCTATGAGATCTCGGCATGGGTCAAATGCCAAAGCAAAGCTGTTTTCTTTGTTAGGTGCATCCCATTTTAGCTTTATCCAATTATTGTTCAAGGGGTTGCAGATGTATATGCAAGGGTCTTCAAAAGGGGAGCAACTGCGACAGCACACCAAACCATTGCATGATGCGAGCAATACAACAGGTTCAGGAAGGAAGTTAAATACCGTCTGATGCAGATCAACATCTTGCTTTTCAACATGAATGTAGCTTATAGTCGTGATGTCATCATTGCACCATTCGTACTTTTGTTGGAAGAAGAAGCCTGATAGTGGTTCTCTCTTTTGTGATTGAACCTTCATGAAAATGGGGTCAGAGATAAGGCGGTTCCACCCTTTAGAAACACACTTCAATCTTGGCATATACTTTGTTGGCAACCGAGACAGCACATCAAAGGAAATGTCATTGTTTGGATCTCCTAAATTACCCATTTCCTAAAACACAAATTCATGGAATTCACATGCTGTTTTGCAAAACATTGAATAGAGAATGGAAAAAGGAAAGCAATGAAAAAATAAGTTTCAAGTTTAAACTTTAAACAGCAATCCAATTGATAATTAATATTGCACTAAGAAACAACAACACTTTGATTTAGAAACTTAGTTCAATTAGTTCATGCAGTTATTCTGTGACATCCAATAAGTTTGAGATTCTAATCTTAGCATTTTTAATCCTTTTTCTTATCCTAAAGTTGGGGCTTCGGCTTCGTTTATACCCAAAAAAAAAAAAAACAACACTTTTCTTAGAGCATCCTTACAAACAATTCCTACGATCTAATTCATTTTATCCAACTTATTAGCAACCAAATAAGTAAAACAGAGAATCAAGCATTATGCAGTAGATATGGAAACAATAACAACAACAACCAGATTTTGTATTCACAAATCAAATTCATCAATTATGACAACCACAATAGAAGCTAAAACACGACAATAGATTAAGTAATTCCACCCAAGCCATTCTTGCTAGAACCAGACATTTAAAGAGGATGAAAACGTTTTACTAGTTTCTTTTACCATCCCATGCATACATCAAATAGAAAGACAGCAAAGCACATGCAATAACTCTGAAACTAGCAACCGGTATCGATGTAATTCGTTTTGAAAAGGGCAAAAAGCTTGGAGAAGGTTACTTAATATTGCTCACTAACCATCCCATGCATACATCAAATAGAAAGACAACAAAGCACATGCAATAACTCTGAAACCAGAAGCCGGTATCGATGTAATTCGTTTTGAAAAGGGCAAAAGGCTTACGGCTAAGTGGAGCTAATATTTGAACAAAAAGCTAATGAACTAGTTTGAGTCAGCTTTCTCCCCTGCCACCACACTATATTACATACTGTTTCCATCACATTCATAATCAAATTATATCAAACTTTTAGCTCTAAAAGACATAGTAAAATAAAAAAATTTTAAAAAAAAAGTTCAAAGCTTTATCAATAGTCTGCATCAGAAAATAGTGAAGGTTAGAAAGAAGATCAAACTCTTTGGGGGACGAAAGATATGTAGCTAATTACTCTAAGTAGCATTAACAAGTTAACCACAAAAAAACCAACCCATCACTAAAAACATGCATGAAAGTTCTTTAAAAGCAATATAATATAATATAATATGGTATTTTGTCAATGAAAACTAAGAACTTGAGGAAAAAGATACTAGCTTTACCTGGAAAAAGAGACGAAATATGTAGCTATCTGCAACTCAACTAAAAAAGTCCTTTTTTTAAGAAAAATCGCAGAAGCCCAAATGCAAGGAAAAGTAAAAAGCTTTAGTATGGATTTTATGGAACAAAGAAGCAAAAAAACAAAAAGGGATATGTAGGCAAGCAGGAATCGTCGATACAGTAAAAACACTAGAAATAGCATTCTAAGCGTGAATCAAACAAAAAAAAAAAGACAACTTTGGACAACAATGTTAACGTTTCTTACCTTGAAGGAAGAAAAACTCTAGTTTTTTCGCTTTGTAAAGTTCAGATTTTTACTTCATGGAAAAGAAAGGAAAAGGAAAGAAAAGGATATGAAAGATAAAACAAAAAGTGTACCGGGAGCTCAAAAGTCAGCAGAGTGCCAGCACAGAACCGTATCAAGGGACTTTGTTTCTTTTAATGACTTAAATCAAACGGTTCACACGGTGATGAAATCCCAAGTGGTCTCATCAGGAGGGAATGCACGTGATTACAGGCTGATTAGCGATCAATACTACGAGATGTGTAGGAATACAAATGTTGTATTAGTATTTGTAAATTGTTTAGATTCGATCAGAATAAAATTTAAATTTAATTAAATTATTATTGAATTGAGTTTAAGTTTGAGTAATTTGATTCATTGATTGAATCAAATTCAAATATTTTTATATTCAACTTGAGTAATTCGTAAATTTAATTGAATTTTTATATTTAAATATATTTTTATTATTTTATTAATAAAATATTTAAACTCGAGTTCGAGTACAAATAATTTAACTTTTATATAATATAAAAATCAAATTTATTTTTACATATTAATCGAGTATAATCAAATGAATTCGAGTAATTCAAATTTTATCTCAAATTAAATTCGAGTTAAAAAAATAAAATTCAATTGAGTTCAAGTTAAGTTTTGACCATCAAATTTTGAATTAAGTTTGAATTCGAACTTAATATTATATCAACTCAATTTCGATCGATTATATCCTTAAAAACGTATACGTAGTGTTTTACATTAACGGTGGAAACTAACAAAATTTTTTATTATTTATATACGTGTTTGATTTTTGTTTATTTATTAAATTTAATAAATAATTTTAAATAATATTTTTGTTTATTGAATATATCAAATGTAAATAAATGTTATTTGATTTGTTTACATTAACAAACAAATTCATTTAAAAATTGTTTAAAATTAATTGTACGTTTATATTATTTTATTATTTAATAATTATAATAACAAAATTATATTTTTGTTTTTTATATTAATATTATTTTAGGATTTGTTTATATTCATTTGTTTAAATTTGTTTTGTTATAATTTACTTATTGTTTATAAACATATCTATTTATATATTTTCATAAATATTTTTGTTTAACTTAATTAAATTAAATATAAATATTTTATTATTTAAACGAACTAAATTTAAAAGAATAGAGTAATTTTACTGAATACCAAGGCTGAATAGCTCTAAAAGACAAACAAATCATGATGCATTCGTTCTTATGGTTGACTGTTTATATTTTCTTAGGCTGTTGAGGTGATACGGTCTGAGTTCTGTCTGACCCGCCATTTTTAATCAGCTCTTTCTTCTTCCTTCTCATCATAATGGTTGATGGATTAGACTAACATGAAATGTACTATGATGATGAAGTAATGAAAGAACCGATCGAATGCCGTTGATACATACGAAGAATGTTGTTCTCCTTACCTCTCCTACAAATGATTTATATCTTTAGTCTTTGCATTTGCGGTTAATTATGAAGTCTTGTTCAAAAACAGGGCCTTTAAAAGAATAGATCAATTCAACTATTGCTACTATTTTTGCTTCGTAGTATTACTATTTCTCGATCATCCATTTTCCCAGTTTGATTGAACAAAACTCTTTCAATGACAGTGGAAATTTCTCCAAAATGTAACAATTTAATATCAAATTTGATTTTAATAACATTTTCAGAAACACAAAACAGTCATGAATGGCATTCTCATTAATCTCTTTCAGGATCTGAAAGATAATTACATCAGGACACAGGATTATTCTTATTCATCATCGTCTTATTTTAGGTAAGATCTGAGGATCCGTCTGTACTTGGCGGGGCTGTCATACCATGTTGGGGTAGTGATAATAGCCTTTTGCAACCAATACTTGTCGTACTTGTACTTCTTTTTCTCAGTCAGCTTCTTAAATAATCTTTCCCATATATCCATGGCTCGCCTCAATCGAACACTTTTTTTTCGTCCAAACAGAAACTTAATGAAGTCCCTCCCCACCAGAGCAAGGTCCCCCTCAGTAAGGATGTGTATATACTGCAGCAAGTATCATCAAGCCACAAACTTAAGAAATACACAGGATTGGACACTAGTTCTAGACAACACTTTCACTAATATCAAATGCATGTATGATATCCACAATATTACGTAATGATTAACAGTGAGAAAAAAAGAATAATTTTCATTACAAGGAGACCAGGGAATACATAAGTTTTTTTTTAATTAAACACATGAAAGTTGCTTGTAACAGGCTGAAATGGGGGGTAATACCGAAATTTTTATAATGCATAAAACGTATAGCTTGATTATGTATTCTAAACTAAAGGACTATGTTACTCTATGCAAATAAAATTAAATATAGTCTTCAGAGCATTAGTTTCAAAAAACAAAATCAGAAAATTCTATTATGTTACCTTCCAAACATCTAGCACAGTTGTATAGTAGATCTTTTATTGTGAAATTTATTAATTCATGCATGGAAACCATGTGTGTATCTGTATGAACGGGGAGTGGGAAGGTAGGAAACAGAGAGCAGGAATGCCCCCTTAGCCTCCTTCCAGAAAAATTGTGATTGATCTAAGTGAAGCCATTATTTTCATCAGGTTTTACCAGGAAAATGAAGTTGAGAATCAATTAAAGTAAAATGAAAGGAGGTAGGTTCTAAGAGCCAAAGAAAATTAAGATGAAACACTTTTCACCAGGCATATGAAGCCAATGGTTGCTAAGATCACTTGCAGGGTCTCATCCAAGATCCCAAAGAGGCCGTCGTCCTCTGATCCTCGAAATCCATCTCCCCTACCTCCACCATTGCCACCTCCACCACGTGGCGGAGCTTTGCCACTGCCTTCATCATTGTATTCTTTCTCAATCTGTTGCTTTAACATATCCTCAATTGACTCTTGTTTCCCGAAGTTTCCCATAGCTTTCTCAATAGCTTTCCATTGTGAACCCTGCTGACAATAATAACAAATTCAATCACAATTTTCAGGTTGCATACTAAAGTATTAAAACTGTAATTAAATGCCACACACTTGCAATAATCTAGTTTTCTCCCAATCATTTCCTCTACTTTTGAACAGGATTCTAGAATTACAAGGCACAATCAAATTACCACCAGTCAAAGTAATAAAATTAAAGATCCCATTCTTCTAGTTGCATGAAAGAACTTGCAAAGACATCATGAAATCAAAGGGGAGAAAACTAAGGGTGCATCCACAAAGGCAGTTTCAGAAAACAAAAGTAACGGGATAGAAAGTAAATAATTTTCTTTATACCAAAGGGGAAAAAGGAGAGAATTATATAAGAAATCAAATCCATGATACCAAAATATCAATCCTTTCTACAGTGACCATCTAAAAGAAAATGCTAAAAAGTGATAAAACTATGCAATGTGATAAAAATTCTCAGCAAAAAGTGCATAAGCAAATAAAAGATGATCCAACCATCCATCCAAAGATTTATTCATGTTAACCCAGCCCTGTTAAAGCCAATCAGTATTCTACTTGAATTCCAATGTTTAGCGGAGCCAGCCCAGCTTCTAGCCAAAAAGAGGTCCCCCTTTCTTCATAGGAAAGGAAAAATTACAACTTTAAAGAGAAAGAAGGAACATAAAATATAATATGTATGGGGAGCAAGTACGGAGTTATTTGGTACAATCCCAGGAGTGTAAGCCAATCAAGCTACCCTAATAAACTCGAGCTTAACTCGGCAATAACTCAAACTCAATGTAATCGTTGTCAAGCTCAGGTGAAACTCAAGTACTAAATCAGTTTGAGTTCTATCATTCTAATACTACACTCAAGTAAATTCTCAACAAGTCATACAAACATCCCAAAGAAAAAAAAAATAGAACAAAAACATAGGACTTGAGCTTATATACATAATAAACAAGTTTCAAGCAGGATCCACCATTGAAAAGCTTTCTTACCTCATTGTCACCAGAAGCCGACTTATCTTCACCTCCTAGTCTGCAAACAGCAGTCCCTAGCCGGCATTTCGAAACCGATGCATATATCTTGTGTTTCAATAGAGGAGCAAACTGTTGTTGACATTGTGATTCATTTAAAAATAATTTCAAGGAATTGGTAACCGGAAGCCTAGCGTTGAAGCATAAAACATATGGGTAAGAAGGCAAGAATTCCGGTTTTGTTGAATTTGGACCATTAATACCAGGTAAGATTCTGTTAATAGCCTGAATTGACTTCATCTTTTGTTGGGTTGCCTTCCTAAAATCCCCTCATTTAGCCTGTATGGATGTTGGAATAAACCCAGAAAAAATAATATAAAAAAGAAGTGATGTCTGAAAGCAAACCTGGGTGTCGTGAGTCAGGAGGCTAATAGCGGTTTTGATCTGGGATAGATGAAATCATCGGAGAAAAAAGGAGAAATGGTAGGTTTAAGAGATGAGGATAAGTTGGCTGGGGATGATGGGCCTGGAAGTAGAAGGGCAATCGGACTTGAAGGAATAGCCGTATACGTACAGACAAATTAACTTGGGCTGGCTGGCTCTTTCTATTTTTATAGGCCTGCTTCATAAGCATTAGGGTTTTAACCTTTTAAGTGCTTTAAAGCCCAAATTTTAAAAAAATTACTTTATTTTAAAAAAATTTTATAGTGATTTTTATTTTAAATTAAATTACATAAATATATCTGATCATTAATCTTTTTATTATATGTAACCTATATAAAAAGTATGTTTTATCCAAAGATTCATTAAGATGCATATGCTCAAATAAATTAATATTAGTTAATAATTTAAAATTTTGGTGGACACTCTCAATTTATATTTACGTTAGTTCCATCAATTAAATTAATTATTAAAATTAAATAAAATAATTATTTATTAATAAAATAATATCATTGACCGAGTTGGACGACACTTGAAACAAAAAGATTCTATTAAAAACTCTGTTCAAATTGAAACAATCCTGCGAGCTTGATAAATAATTTGGTCCATAGACAAATTTACTAATAATTAAATATAAAGTTTTTGAACCTCAAAAAATATTTGTTGATTATTAAAAGGAAACTATCTATAAAAAGAAAAACTTTTTTAGAAAATTACCTCTAAAAAAGCAAATACTTTGAGATTTAAACTGCCATAGCTTTGATTTTTAGAAACTATATAAGAAACTCTAATGATTGGTCTAAATAATTTTACTCATTGAGCTCTTTGGATGTGACATATAAAATCATGATTTTATAGTATTATATCCGTATTATTCAGCTGCTTAATTTAGTGATTAAGATAATCTTAAAGAATCTCAATTTTCTCACATCTCTTTTAACGTAGAGTTTTATCCATCTTGAATGATAAAAAAAAATAGTATTATATCTAATTATTTTCACACAGTTAGAGATGGACCAATTAAGCATGCAGGTTTTGCCCTTTCCCACACGTACATTCTCATTGCATCCCTTGTGCTAACTAGAAATCTTATGCATAGATTTTTACTAGGAAGAACAGTATGAGCTATGAAAATCTACTAGACTTGGAAAATGGAAACCAATGGAACATAAATAACCTCACAAACGAGACATCTTGACTTTCAAATTGGACATTTTCTTTTAAACCACTAAATTTAAGAGTGATTTTTTTTTTTTTTATGAAAGAAATATATGTAGGATTTTTTTAGAAAATTTATAGCAGAATGTAAAGGTGTGGAAAACGTTATTATAGGTGGAAAACGTTGAAGAAAATAAAAATGATGAATGGAAAATAAGAAGAGCTATAACTTTATTACCTTTTTTTTTTTTTTTCTTTTGCAAAAGGCAATAAAAGGAAGAAAGGAAATGACATATGAAGGAATGGAAATTTTTTTTTTGTTGGTGGAAGGAATATTTACCTTAGTAGAGAAGCTGATTTTTTTTTTCCGTCTTTTTGAATTGTCAGGAACAACAATTAAATACAACAAATGTAAATATGAGAATTCTTATCATCCTACAATCATTTTAAGATCATTAAGAGAAAATATTTTAACTCTATTATCTTTTCTTTCTACAAAATTTGTTCATGTTCATACCCTGACCATGAATAGTGATTTTTGCCAAATAACTTACAAAATATAACAATTTGATAAATATGATAACAAGTTTTAAAGATTTTGCTAGATAACTTATGAAATATATCGATTTAATTTTATTTTAGAAATATAAAATGATATCTTCCACCTAATTCAATAAAACTCTATAGGATGATATTTTGGCCAATTTACCTAACTCCATTACATTTGTCTGTGCCTACAGTCATAGGTAAAATTTTTTTTAAGTATTTCGTGATTTGATGTGATTCAAAATAAATCTAACAATTCATATATATATATATATATATAAATATACACACACGTTTTATTTTATGTTATATATATATAATACAAAATTTATTATGTCATAGTTTGTTTCACCAAACACAAAACATATATTTTTTATTTTTACCAAATTCATATAAATTTTTGTAAAATTTTAAACTATATTAATTTCGTATATATTTTTATATCGCTTTAATATTATATTATTGTATCGTATTTAAAATTATCAAGATTAATTCCAAGTATTTCGTGGTTTGATGTGAAAATTGATGATCATATGACAAATATACTAATCCTATCAAGTTATGCAACTTATCTTCACAATGCGAAGAGGCCAAAATTATCATTACTCTTCTAATGCAGGAAAACATTCACTCAATTATAAAAGAGTTTATATTTGATATATTGTCAATGTATTTGATAATTTCTCGTGTATATATTTTATATATTGTCAATAAATGATGATATCTTATTAATGAACAAATATCAATCATTGAAATAAATATAAAAAATTAGTATATTTAAAAATTTACTCATTAATAAAATATTATCATCTTATTTATCTCGTTAATAAAGTGATATCATTTTGATTCATTAATAATGTATAAGATTTATATATTAACAATGCATCAAATGTAAACTTTTCATTAAATTTACAACAAAAATATATTTAGAACAAGATAAAGATGTAAAATAACAGTTCATAAAAAAGGAACTTGTTGCCTAACAAAAAGCAACGCCTTCAAACTCCAAAAAAACTTATCTTCCTAATTTTCGTTACAACAAACTACAAAAACTTCATATAACTATGCTTAAAGATAATCATCTTATCAAGATCCCTGTAATAGGGCATTAGCATGTACATCATTTAACAAAATCATCACTTTCTTATCGTGTTATCGAAAAACATAACATGGCTCCGATAAGCAGTATGCTCAACTTTGCATCTGTCAATAACTTCAGGACTGCAATACTTCTTCAAAGTTTCAACGTCTCCATACGTGTATAAAATTTTTGTTTATTATTAGAGACAACCACCGTCTGAAACATCCTTTTTGCAGGAAAAGATAAAATACTAGAATATAAGCCAGCAGAACCCTATAATCACTTTTATATATGCGTTAAGGACCGGTCTGATTGCTTCCTGAACTTCTGCCACGAACTTTGGCAAAGAGAATGACCTACTCCATGCACCAAAGAATTCCATATGAGTTGTCAAGACATAGAACATAAAATACTAAAGCAAAAATAAAAGAGAGATGATCCATCTTTGTAGAATCTAAAATTTACAATAAAAAAATTAATTATAAAAACGAATTACAGACAATGTTATATATACTCCCTCTATCAAACTTTTTTCTATTTAAACTTTATTTTATTTTAAATATATTAATATTTAATAATATAAAATTTTACTTTTGAAAAAAAATAATAAAAGGCCCCTGTTTTATTTACTAAACATGTAAAAAAAGAAAAAAGGGGAAACGACAATTACCTATTTATGGAGAATTTCATCGTAGAAAACCTAATTCAATTTTTATTTTTACTTACTTTTTTTTACTTGAAAGATAATAAATTATATCAGTTGATAGTAGATACAAAAAAAATTCATGCATGAAAATAAAAAATAACTTACAACACAAACTCAAACTAAATTTATACTCAAAATACACTTCCATCCACATCAAACAAAAAAAAAAAAAACAATCGAACAAACAAATCAAACACATTCAAACTGAGCACATTTTTATACATTTATTATAAAATTGTAAAGAATAAACGGTTTAAAGAATAAACAATATACTATAAAAAAAAAACCTATCACAACACTCATAACCAAAAAACAAAAACAAAATCCACAATCCTCACAAATTGTGAGGAACCCAACATATTCAAGCAAAGATTTGGTTGATGAAAAAGGAAGGAAGAAGAGGAGAGAAGGAAAAAGTGAGAAAGAAGAAGAGAAGAGGGTTGGCGATCAACAACTAGACAAGGCCCATATTCGACTTGGAGAGAAAAAAAAAAGAAAAAAAAAAGGAAGGAAAAAGAAAAAAGGAGAAGAAAGAACAAAAAGAGAGGAGAAGCTCTTGGAATTTTTTTTTCTCAAATTTGCCCTCCTAATTTTTTTTTTTTAAACATTAAAGAGTTGAGCAGGCAAATTGAATAAGGAGATAAAAATTATATATAGTTATAGATGTTCAAATTGAATCAATCCCACGAGCTTGGTAAATAGTTTGGTATAGACAAATTTACTAGCAATTAAATATTAAGATTTTGAACCTCAAAAAATATTTATTGATTATTAAAAGGAAATTATCTATATATATATAAAAAAAAAACTGTCTTCGAAAATTACCTCTAGAAAAGCAAATACTTTGAATTTTAACTGTTGTGGCGTTGATTTTTAGAAACTATACTGATTGGTCTAAAAAAATTCATTACTCATTGAGCTTTTTGCATGTGACATATAAAACCATTGTTTTTTATAGTATTATATCTAATTTTTTTTCTCATAGTTAGAGATGGACCAAATAAGCATGCAGGGTTTTTCCTTTCCCACATGTACGTCCTCATAGCATCCCTTAAGCTAACTAGAAATCTTATGCATAGATTTTTACTGGCAACAGAGCATTGAACAGTTTAAGCATTGAAGATCTACTTGACCTGGAAAATGAAACCAATGGAACATAAATCACCTCACAAACCAAACACATTGACTTCCAAATTGGACATTTTCTTTTAAACCACTAAATTTAAGAGTGATTTTTTTTTTTATGAAACAAATATATATGGGATTCTTTTAGAAAATTTATAGCAGAATGTAAAGGTTATGGCTATGCCAAAATAAGTTATTATACGCATGCTAAGGGGAAAAAGTTAAAGAAAATAAAAATGATGAATGGAAAGTAAGAAGAGCCATAACTTTATTACTCTTTTTTTTTTTTTTTTGACAAAAAGCAATAAAAAGGAAGAAAGGAAATGACATATGAAGGAATGGGAGATTTTTTTTTTATGTTGGTGGAAGAAATATTTACCTTAGTGGAGAAGCTGATTCTTTTTCTATATTTCTGAATTGCCATGAACAACAATCAAATACAGCAAATGGGAATATAAGAATTTTTGTCATCCC